GTCCTGAAACAGACAACGGGATAAAAAGTGGCATAATTAGAAAATGTGTATATGTGTAAGAGATTTAACAAATTGTAATGTTACTGTGGACTATTTCATTTGTATCTGCATTTGTACAAACATCGTATTCCCGCATATTCACTCTCACCCTCCTGACAGTAGTTTAACAGCAGTAGTGCTGCAGGCGGAAGAAACGTTTAACAAAAGAAAAAAGAATTACTGACGAGAACACATTCTTTGTACCATATAAAGCTAATACTGTTACATTTGGTAGGAACAATATGAAAAGTAAACAGAACTTACGGTACCAACTTGCTTCCGCTGTTGTCCTGAGAAACTGCCCCGGGATGTTTCCTTTTCAAATGCTCCTGCATGGTGCTGGTGCTGTTGTGAAACGCCATTTCTGCTTTGCAGAGCTGGCAGAGCACCATGTTGTTTGGTATGTGCTTAAAATGCTGCCAAACCTTTGGTGACTGCAGTCACGGTATTTTCACGTTCCCCGGACACGCCATGCTGCTAGTGCTTTGGCTGCGTCCGAAACCGCCTACCACCATACTGTATAGTAGCCGAAAAGCAGTAGGCGAGGCGAGTAGTATGTCCGGATTCGTAGTATTCCAAAAACAGTAAACGAAAAGTACCCGAATGACCTACTGCTTCCGGTTGGATTTTGCAGTGTGCATACGATGGACACTTCACTATCCCATGATGCCCCGGGAGAGGAGTTATCCAACGAAGAAGACGCTGCTATGAAAACGTATGTCACGTGATGTATCAACATGGCGGATGTAGTACGTCCGAATCTCATTCATACTACCAGGCTTCATACTATACAGTACCTACTGTTTTAACGGTCAGTAAGTAGGTACTTCATCTCTTTCAGTACGTACTGTCACAGTATGCGGTTTCGGACACAGCCTATGTGTATCCATGCTCGCGTTACTGCCTACTTCCTACTTATCGTCTTCTGCGTCCTTTTAAAGGGCGGTTGGCATCCAGCTTTTGGCGCATTACCGCCACCATGCTCTGGAGTGTGAAACTGAAACTTGTCTTACAAATTTTTTTTTGTTTCCTACATATGACAAGTCGACGATTAATATGCAAATCGACTAATTATCATAATCAATTAAGTCGATTAAGTCAAATAATCACTACAGCCCTACTGAGCTTCTTAGTGTCAGTGTGCTGCTTAGCTGTTGGACCACAACTTTGTCATTACTCTCATAGTGTCATTTGTCAAACAGCTCTTTCTGCTACCTGCTTAGTAGAGAGACACAGAGACTAGCTGCTGAATGCAGGGGAACATTTAGCAGATTACTGGGTAGAGACCAAAAGAGAGGGAATACTGGACTCCCGTTCATCATGTGGACACAAACACGACTCCACAAAATGATCACATTGCTCTGGAACTGTTTACGTGTAATTAAGCAAGTGTTTATCATCAGCTTCATCATATTAATTTAAAATGTGTTGATACATCAATGTTTTGTTCAAAATTCATTTAAAAAAAAAGAAAAAATTAGGTGGGTTTATGCATTTTTCCACCTACAACATCTGACCACCTCTTCTGGGTACTAACGGGAACTGTAGCCACTCTGACGTGACGTCCCTCCTCCCACACAGCTCTCTGAGAGCTATAGTGGTCTGTGGCTGACACATTTTCACAGCAGAGCCTGCAGGAATTGTTAGTGCAAAATAACATAGCCTAAAGCTAACACCTGGTAGAATTAAACACTTGCCATTTTCTTTTATTCTCACTTAAATTCTGCTTTAAAGCTAAAAAAAAGTGATTCCTATTTCTGCAAAACACCATGATTAAATAGGCTTTAACAAGAGAGATCTGGGAACTCTGGATGGTAAAATCATTTCTTTCATTCTCTCACCCTCACACTCTCTTTCTCGAGTTCTCCATATCTTCCTGTGTTCGATTGCCAGCCACCTCCTCTCCAAATCCCTACCTCTCATAATGCTTGAGCTCTTTTATAGTACTACTCCCTCTTCATACGACTTATGTCAGCTTCTACACAACACAGATACTGAACAACGAAGCTGGACAGTGACATTTCTGTTCACTTTCACATTCAGAAAACATATTTGCTACACATTTGCCAAATGGGAATGAGAGCTACAGTAATAACATGTGCCGTTGCCGTTATCTGATGCCCCACAGGCCAGACAGTGAATGTAAGATAAATTTATATTTTATCACCATTATGCAACAGACTTATGGAAGCGTCACCAGGCAAACACAAAAATCAACATTTGCTTTTAGATAAGTAAAGCAAAGAAAGATGTTTTTCAAGGTAGTCCTAAAATATTCCTACAATATCCCCATGTAGTCATCATCATATTATTATGCACGAGTGTTAATGTTTATTTTTTACAATATTACAATGGGATACTTTTAAAATATGAACTTCTCCTGTGACAGCACTGCAAATATGGGACCACAAATACAATAACATGCAACTGGCCATAAAGGGTTACAGTGTCAGAAATATGAAGGGAAATATTTTATGAGTATGGGCAAAAATCTAAAAAGCTAAGATCTATAAAGTGTGACACATTATGAACCACCCACCGATCCACAGCTTTAGTTTCTGCTATCAGTGTAATCATGATCATAGGTTTACATTGCCTACAGTTCTCCAATTAATGGATTAAAAGGCAAAGTGGTGGTAGTTTCAATCATCAGTGTCACATTAACAATATTTATAATAACCTCTCAAATAAAAACACCAACATTTACCAGATGCTGCTTCTCAAATGTGAGGATTTATTAGTTAACCATGTCATATCACCATCTGTCATTATATGACACACTTTTGGTTGTTTAGCCATTGGTGCCACAAAGTACAGGATTTATTCATCCATTCGTTTTTGGCATTTTAGAGAACAATGAAAGAAATAATCTAAAGGTAAAAACAGATGTCAGGTTAGTCCCATTGTAACATCAATATTGGATCACAAACAGCATAAAAATGTAAGTGGAAGACATTTAAAAGAAAAAATGCAACCAAAATAAGTTGCACAACAATAACCAACCAATCAAGCTGTAAAAAAGCAGCAAATCTTTACTTTTAATCAAATCTTTATATTTTAGGGATAGTTTCAGTATTTAGCTGTAAACTTGCCTGATTGATACAAGGATTGTCGACTGTTTTCCTGTTGACTAATAGATTAATCGACTTTCAGTCCTGAAAGTCCAGGATTCTTTTATTACTTAAAAATACTTACAGCAGCACTACAAACACCCGTGTGTTACATAACAACCTCTGACAGGACTAATTCAGACTATTTTTATGCCAAATAGCCGAGCGAAGGTGCGTGTTTTTCCACCTGCGTCTCCAACGACTTCTCAACTCAGACTTGAGAAAAAGGTTAACTAGGCACCGTGTGGGGTGAACGGACATACCTGGGTGACTCTGGTATCCGTCTACAAACAGAAGTACACACCTTGTCTAGGCAGCTGACTTTCTCCGTCGGGTAAACGATCTTCCCGCAGCGGGCACACGGGGGGTTCATCCTCCAAACCTCCTCTCTGCTCTTCTACGGCGAAATTCCCTTGAGCTTTACTGTTGTCCGGAAAGCACCCGAAGGTCCCCGGTGAACCGCCCTTCAAGCTACGACACCGTAAACAAAGTGGAGCGGCTAAAACGTTCACAGAAAGACAGCGGCTCCGCTCCTTCTCTCCACGGGGCACAGTCCGCTCTGGAGGCTTGATGCTGAGCCGAGACCAATCACATCATCGAGGGCAACAATCTAGCGAAACTTAGCGCGAGACAACAGGAAGTTAGCTCTGAAAAGCAGGAAGTCAGCGATGCGTAGCTTTACCTTCAAAGTAAAAAAACCACCCCCATAAAGGTTCACCGTTTGATTGGTTTGAATGTTCTCTTAAAAACACGACAGACTATGAGACAATGGGTCCCTGGGCACAGACGTGAAAGCCCCCCCCACACACACCCCATAATGAAGTGAGAGCCACAAACTGGAAGATCCAAAATAACTATAAACTACACTGCATTGGCCTTTTTTTCTCTGTTTGCAGTCATTTTGTGCCTCTTTGCAATTGGTTTGCATATCTTTGTTGTATTTTTGTGACTTAAGGGTTGTTTTGCAGCTACCTGGATGCAATCTGTTTGAAAGCCTCCCCTCTGGACGGCGTCACAGTTTCTTCCCCCAGGTTGTCACTCTGGTGAACACTTAACCAACTAGAAAATTGCATTTTCTGAAGAACATGCGTATGGGTGCTGAGTGCTGAAAAATCGCCCTGAAAATGCTGAGCATTTTTACACCTGAATGCTTTTGCTAGCTGTAATTATGCTGAAGTTGGAATTTCCCCATTTATTTGAATAAGGCAAGATTTTCAAAATAAAGCTAAATATTCCAAAAGTATAAAGTTTAGGAAACTTCAGAAGAGAAGCATGAATGTC